TTACGTTTGTCAGTTCTGATGCTCCTCTTCACTTGCTTGTTTGCTTCTGTGTATTCAGCCTGTGCCTTGGCTTTTTCTGATCTTGTTCGACTGGTATTGATTGCTGCCTTCTTGTTCCTCCTTTCTTGAGTCTTATCCAGTGTAACGACGGTGATCCAATCCTTGTGGTGGTGCTTCTTGTGGCTCAGAACCTCATGACATGTTGAAGTGATTGCCTCTTTTATCTATTTCCAGTTTCTCTCCATAGTAATTGCTTCTCCGTTGAGTAGATCATGAAAGGCCTGGAACTTATTGCTGAGGGTTATCTTGAATTTATTGAGTTTGTCAGTATCCTGGAGAAGAGCCGTATTAAATTTTTGTGATATTGTCCTCCCCGTTGTCCAGTGCCTCTTGAGTTTCACTTTCATCTTGGCAACCAGCAAGTGATGATCTGATGCTATATCAGCTCCTCTCTTGGTTCTCACGTCCTCCATCGTCCTCCTGAACTTTTTGTTGATTGAGATATGGTCGATTTGGTTCTGTGTGCTGTGATCCGGTGAAGTCCATGTGCTTTTGTGTATGCGTTTATGTGGGAATATAGTGCCGCCTATGACCAGTTTATTGAAGGCACATAGATTTGCAAATCTCTCACCATTTTCATTCCTTTCTCCGAGTCCTTGTCGTCCCATGATCTCTTCATATCCGGTGTTGTCAATTCCAACCTTGTCATTAAGGTGTCCCATCAGAATAGTCAGGTCTTTTGTTGGGCATTTCTCGACGATTGATTGCAGCCTATCGTAGAATTGTTCTTTAGCGTCTTCATTGTAGTCGTTGGTTGGCGCGTAGCATTGGATGACGTTCATTGTAATCCCCGTTTTCTTTGTTTTGAAGGAGGCTTTGATGATCCTTGGTCCATGAGATTCCCATCCTATAAGTGCATTTTGTGCTTGTTTGGACAGCATCAATGCTACTCCTTGTGTATGTGGGGAATTTCCTTGTTCATGTCCGGAGTATAACAGCAGCTCTCTTGAAGCTAGTCGTTGTTGTCCAACTTGCACCCAATGTGTTTCACTGATCCCAACCACCTCTGAATTGTATCTCCTCATTTCTGCAGCAATTTAGAAAACTCTCTCAGTCTCCTACATTGTGCGAGCATTCCATGTACCTAAATAAATGGTTGCTCTGGTTGTCAGAAGGGGCATCGGCCTCGTGACTTCCGAAGAAACTTGGTTTTCATCATGAGGCGTCATAATTCTTCTAAACGAAGACCTCCTGACTCCCAGGGCAGAGTTTAAATGGTTTGAATGATTTTTTCTGGTTAGCGCTTTTTTAGCGAGTTATTTTTCCACGAAATGGGGTCGCTAATCCCATGCCCAACCCTCCTCCATTATCCGGGCTTGGGACCGGCAGTAGCCCCTGAAAGGGACTCCAAGCGGAGTTACCTTTTCTACATATTATATAATATTATACAGGGCCTGTAGTTATATACGACAATCGAGATGTAGCTTCTACGACTGGAAAATGCCAAACAAAACTTAAAAAACATCCACATCACGAAGTATGCACTAATGTGGAATAGACTTCCTTTAGAAAGAAGGATTTCATACGTCTGTAGAACGTTTTAATGAAACCTTCGTTCACACTGATCTGAGCACGCGCAAACACTTCTGCATCTTACTCATCATAAGCTCCAGTAGTGTCGGTCACCATGTTAGGCTCATATAATTTATTCCAGCTTCTGGAATATATTTTGTACCCTCACTGGCCTTGACAGGCAATCAGAAGAAACGAAGCAAAGAATGCAAAGTAAAGAGAGCGAAGTACGATGACGCGCGGTGAAGAAGGCGTTTGAACCACGTCGTTTTATTTCAACATTAATCGATATTTATAGTCACACAAAAATAGGCTACAGATGTATGATGAGTGGGATATGATTTACACGCATATGCCCATATCAGAGTTACCAAGGTCAAAACCTGACTAAATACGATGTTGTGGTGATCCAGAAAATTTCTTGCAAAAGACAAGTAAGGATCAAGAAACACTAAGAAGCATTTCATCGAATCAGCGTTCACTTGAAGTTTTAGCCAGAAGCATAAAGGAAGTGAGACACCACATGCAGAGTTTCTGATTCACTGGTTGCTATACTGCTACTATGTTTAGTAGCATTCCAGAATCTTCAAGCAACTCAAGGACATTTAAAATATCACAAAGGCCCTATATTTTCTGCATTAAAATGAACCTTTGCAGTACAGTGCTTCTCGAATATATTGTGCCTTTCCTCCCGTGTTCAGGTCACTGTATATTTCTAGCTTGGGGGTTATATGAATAGCTTAGGAACCGAATACAGCTTTCAATTACAAGACTTATCAAAAGAATGGATAAATCCACCTGTTTAGAAGCTATAATAAGCTGTATGGGCTTATAATAGTAATCAACATTGCACTTTCCATACATCTAAATTATGTAAGGCTCTAAGTTTCATTTTTTACTTTTTTCTTTGAAGTTGTGTTGGACTCTTCATCACAACTTTAGCAAGTTTTCGATTGAGCCCCACAATTTGCTGCCGCACTACTAGTGATCTTGCATATATAGAGCTTGTAGACCATCACCCAGTAAAGATTGCACAAAACACCACTAATGCCAACTTATTGTGGATTGATTTTTGTCTGTTTTTTCATCAATTTACTGCTTCTACATGAGGTCTACTGAATAACTGTTCATTTCATCTCGTTACCCATTACCATATTTATAACCATTATATTCTTACACCTTTCCGTCTAACGTAATGGTCATTTGTCTTCTGTTATACCTTTGTAAATGTTTGTACTTCGTTTGTATTGCAGCGATATCTAATCCATTGTCCATAATTTTCAACTATCTGATCAGCTTGTAACAAGATATTTGTGGAAATATTTTACAACAGGATATGGAATAATATTTTATTTACCAGTCACTTTAATGAAGCCTAAAATCACAAAAGAAGATAGAGTAGAGTTACTTACTAGTAAGCATTGATGATGGTAAAGAGCGCTTTATTTGTTTCAGGTTCCTTTTGATCGAGGATGGTGAAACTAGCTTGTGATACTGAAGTTATTAGCCCATTCTCGTTACTCAAACTCACAGTTTCAGTCTTATATTGATTTCGCTATTTTACTAAGATGCATTTTAGGCCACAGCTTTTAGGTTATGACCTATCAGTCGGCATTTAATGAAAAGAGAATGATAATTAAATCCTTGGAAAAAAGGATAAAGTTGTTAGCGTTTCTAAATACCTTACACTTTTAATCCAATCTCGTTTATAATGGACGTCTCTGCTGAATCCAACTTCGACCTTGCCTCCTTTATTTGAACTCCTTTCACTTTGTAACACATCACAATTCATCGTTTTTGTTTGTTGTATTCTTTCATCTAAAGATTTTAGCTAAAATCATACCATGGATAACAGCTAGTATGAGTTTTATCTCATGATTTAACATACCTTTGTCTGTTCCACTATAAATGGATAAGAATTGTTGTTTGTACTCAAGTACCTTTTCGCTTCTTCGTTTCTTTATCTGACTTCACGTTTTCTGTGCACGCCCATGAAGCTTCTTGGCATGCCAGGGAGATCTATCTAACGTACTCATTTGCTTAAGTCATAGCCTCTTTTAATCATTACTATATAACAACCATAAATTCATCAGACAGTACGTAAATACCTAGCAACACTACCACTATAGTGTGCGAATGAAAATTTCGGACTAAATGTGTGCTTTCCAAGGTCATAATTTGCATGAGCTTCCGTTTTTAGACGGAATATACTGTGAAATCATAGCACAATACAACCACACTGACCTAGTTACTAACCTGCTAATTTATCTTCATGGGAAAAAGTTTTTTTGGCGCCACAATAAACAAAGTGAAATAATTATCAAGTGTGCTATTGGCGAAATATTCAAGGTTTTATTTACGTAAAAATAGTGTAAAATGGGTATCAGTGATCAACCTGCTCTTCGACGATGTGGATATCATATGAGGTTGTAGACACAGAAGCTGAAGTTTGTGTAACCACAGTCAAATGATTCGAAGACCAATAAATCAGACTGAGGATTTTCATCGATACTGCGGGTATATAGTATGTCACTTCTAGTTGGCTCCGGTCATTCACCGAAATATATTGGAGGAAACAGATTTATTCTGTAAGCAACAACTTGTATAGTAGGAGAAAATTTCAAAAGTTATATGGTATGGGTACACAGAAGTAAAAAGTAATTCTATACCTTGGTACGTCATTACAGTTTCTACAATGATAATGCTAATATAAGATGTTCAGCAATTTTTTAATCACACTTTTCTACTTTCTATGAAACATTATCGATTGTGAACCATGCACAACGAAGCCGAGCCAGACAGGTAAAACTGTCTAAAACTTCAATATAGCATCAATACGAGTTGTCACATTTAGCTCAAATAATATGTTCTGGGATGTGACGACAATGTTTGTCATACCATCCATCTATATTCTCTTTTCCGTTGGAGCCCATCCATGAATAGATTGTGTTTGTTGCCTTAGTAAATAAGGTGAGGGTTATGTGCTTGATATTTAGAACACACTTGTTTATGTAAAAGGGTTGTGGGTGTTCATTACTAGCAAATCTCAAGTGTTATCTCTTCATCCAAACTTACAAATACTTCATCAAAATGGATGTGTATCGTAGGTGACTCAAAAAGATACCAAGGTCCCGAAACGCTTCATCTTATCAAGAGGCATATATTAAGTAGTCAGTTTTGAAGGACAAAACAGGTTCTTATTGAACAGAATAGTATGGATGTTGAGTTTTCAAGTACGTTTTGAAGTGTTTTACCTTAGAGAATTATTTACAACTACGGAGCCATTCCACCATTAAGTTCCAAATTAGCAAGTACTTAGCAAATTAAAGCGTTCAATTAGTTCATATCTTCTACATATATTATTACCAAGTTGTGTCTAACGTAGATTAATAAGTTGAGACATTTTGTTATAACTACTCAGCATAGTTGTACTTATTTGTGCTACTTTTTAAAAACAAGGACAAATTTGGCATTAGGTCCTACCAAAGGTTTATGCTTCATCGCCGTTATTAATAATTATTCTTTACGGAACTATTATCTGTTCAATACATCATGATCAAATACCTTCTTTTCTCTGCACTATTTTCAATAATTTCGAAGACTTTGACTGCGGAAAAATTGGTTAACGGAACTTGTCCATCTAGTCAAAGAACATTTTGCTATGATGGCATTATTGTGCCTATGTGGAGGCCATCCACGGGTATAACGGCCGGCGACAAGGCTGCTAGGGCCATCGTTTACTTTTCAGCACTTATGTATTTATTTTTGGGTGTGTCTATTATTGCCGATCGTTTCATGGCTGCAATCGAAGTGATTACTTCGCAAGAAAAAGAAGTGACTTTGAGAAAGAAGAACGGGGAAACTCAAACGATATCCGTCCGCATATGGAACGAGACTGTTTCAAATTTAACTCTGATGGCTTTGGGGTCTTCTGCTCCCGAAATTTTATTATCTGTTATTGAAATAATTGGGAAGAATTTCGAAGCTGGAGATTTGGGTCCTGGTACTATTGTCGGTTCTGCAGCTTTTAATTTGTTTGTCATAATCGGTGTATGCGTAATTGTTGTTCCTGATGGACAGGTTCGTCGAATTAAACATTTAAGTGTCTTTTTCATCACATCGTCGTGGAGTCTGTTCGCTTATCTTTGGATGTATCTCATCATAGCTGTTTTTACGCCTGGAGTAGTGGAAGTTTGGGAGGCACTGCTTACGTTTATCTTTTTTCCCGTTATTGTGATTTGTGCATACTTAGCAGATACAAAAATTTTCTTTAAAAAGTTTCTTAAGAAGAAATATCGTGCAACTGCCCTAATGAAAGCTGCAAACGGTGATTTAGAATTGACCAATCACACTGAAGAAGTGACCTACGCTCCTGCTGATGGGGACTTATTAGCTGAAGAATCGGAGTTCGATCGCCATCGTATGGATTATGTGGAAGCTATTAAAGAAATTAGGAAAAGAAATCCGAATATTGGAATGAAAGAATTGGAAGAACTGGCTCAAATGGAAGTGCTTAATAAGGGTCCCAAGTCCAGGGCTTACTACAGAATGCAGGCAACACGTCAACTTACAGGGAGTGGAAATGTCATCAAAAAAGCTAAAGTTGAACGTCGAATGTCTTTTGACGATAACCGATTAACAACAGAAACATATCCTCCACACGTTCAGAGGTTCTTTTTTAATCCTGGTCACTACACCGTTATGGAAAATGTTGGGACGTTTCCTGTGACAGTTACTCGTGTTGGTGGCGATATGCACGCTGTCGTCTCTGTTGAGTACTTCACTCTGGATGGAACTGCAGTTGCTGGAGAAGATTATGAACCAGTTAAAGGTCTACTGTTGTTTTCAGCTGGTGAAACGCACAAACAAATTATGATTTCTATTATTGATGACGATATTTTTGAAGAAGACGAGCATTTTACTGTCCATTTGCGGAATCTCGAAGTAAAACATTCGTCTACCAAAATCGAGCCTGTTCTAGTCGATCCCATGGTTGCTACTATTATGGTTCTGGATGATGATCATTCTGGAGTTTTTCAGTTTGATGTGGCTGATCTTACCGTCAGTGAGTCTTGTGAATTCGCCGAGATCAAAGTACAACGTGTTTCTGGTACGTTTGATTTTTATTTCAGAGCATATCAAACACATTTATATCATACATCTTTAGACTTCCTAATTAATATAAAAGTGTTGGAAGTATTTTATTGTGATATCTTAGATTAAACTTCTTTTCGTTTGGCGAGTTCAGAATTCTCAAGTGATTATTTACAACACATGAAGTTCGAAGAAAGGGATCTATGCTTAGAGAAATAATTTGGGTTACGACATCAAATGTTGAGTTCAGTTAGATAACGTCTTATGATAATAGTAAAAATCAAAACATCTCTCACATTGCTCAGGCAATTATTATTTTAACTCTGGTTATTGTTTGCTTATGGACGATTATTTGCTGGAAAAATTTTAAATGTCAGCGCTAGTTTTTATGGCGTATTATAACCTGGAACAGATGTCAAATTTAAAGCATTGTTTTATAAAGAAGGGCTTTAATGATAAGAATTATGAACATTGGTTCGCAAATGTTATTTTATATCTTCAGACTAAATGACGGATTTTGTTGAAATTATCTAAGTTCAAGATTTTATGTTCCATTAGATACAAACAGATTTATGAAAGATGAATTCGCACTGTACTTGAGACTTATTTACTTAGCATATACAAGTACAATTTTCGGTTAACCAATAGCTAAATATTTTAAAAATTACACTGATGTTTTAGGTGAAGGTTTAGGTTATCTAGGTGTTTCTGGGATGCTGGTGTTTGCAGAATTCTATAAACATTTAATGCTGCGATCAAAGTGCAACTTGATTGTTGTGGTTTCATGATCAAAGAAATTTAGCATTTCTTTTAAGCCACAAATAGTGTAGATTGCTGTGTAAATACGTTCAAAAATAAAGTCAACCAGTAGTTTTTAAAAAGATTCGACTCGGGCATAACAAAATTTATTATTTTGCGTCTATTTTAAGCGACGAATAACATTGATTTTTTTCAAGCCATAAGGATGTTTACATATGAACTTTTATACAGTGGTTCAAGATAGATTTCAAACTTATGAGATGAAATAAAAATAATTCCAACAGTTCTCAATAATCAGTAATAAATTCAGAATATTCCAACGTCAAGACCAACTCACTAAGTGCTTCTATTCATACCTGTAGGTTGCCGAGGTATCGTCCGATTGCCATACCAGACCGTTGAGGGTACCGCTAAGGGAGGCGGAAAGGATTTCGAAGATACTGTCGGATATATAGAATTTCAAAACGATCAGACGGAGTAAGTACTTAAAAGTTTTATTCATTGAAGTTACCATTTTTTATAATCTACCACAGATTTTCGTAGTGCTCCTTAGCTCATAGTTACCTCTAACAAAACAAAGTTAACCCTTTTTAGTTAAAACGTATGTGTAAATACTTTACTAACCTTACATGCCGAGAAAATCAGCTACAGAAACAATTATTCATAAGCATTGTAGTAAGCTTACGGAAATTTTTGTTACTTTATTTGATTTCATGTGTGTATGTTCGACGAATTAGATTTACAGTAAGGCGTATTTCCTTACCAAATCAGGGGAAATAGTTTATTAACAGACACTACTCAGGTTTACGAACGTATTTTATTAAAATATAATATAATGGCAAGTAACTAAGGATTTTCAGTCGCTTCAATTCTAATGAAAGTTGAAGGTTTAAACTTCATAACAGATAGCATGATGCACGTGATGAATACTTGTTAAATCAGTTTGAAACAGCCGTTTACAGTTCAAGAACACTCGATTTTCAGTTGTTTTCAAATACTGTACCTCTGAAAGAGAATACACACATTAATATAAGTTATTCATGCTAGCATGTACATTGAGCTTACATTATTGATGACATTTATTTGACCATACTATTCTGTTGTTATATAGTTGTTGGGTTCAGATGAACTTTTTCTTGGTTATAAAATCGGCTGAAATTCATTAGTTATCTTGAAAAATACATATTTTATCGACGAATTAACATTTAGTAGCGCTGGAGTTTGCTTTAGCGTACTGAAATTGCATTAAAAAACGAGAGCAGTTACTGTGTAATATTCATATTTTTCACTAAAAACTAGATAAATAAAGTGCAAGGGGAAACATGTTCATCAGAGACAATACGGTCTAAATAATTCTATAAGAAAAGCAATCATAATTCAGAAGACTTTCATGAGTCCTTTAAGTACCTCACACAACACGCGCGAGTTTTCGTAGACAAGCCATGTTTTTATAAGTGGAAATTTCTTATACAAACTCATAAAGTAGAGTAAAAATAAAATCTATATAATGTGTGTTGTTCCAACACTGACAGAGGTTCATGCATCTAAACGTTGTGAGCTGTTAACCAGAAATAAAACCCTATGATCTTATTTGGAGATAAAAATATGTGAACTGATTATTTAAATAAAATAAATTCAAATGATTCGCATGAGTAATTCAATACGAAGTGCTAAAAGTCACTGGAATTACATTTTATTTCAAGACGTTTTATATAGTTTGAAGCTTTTACATTAAGTGACTTTCGTGTGGCACTAACATGTAAGATTTTTCTTTTATTCTGTTGCATCATTTAGTTGAATCACTATTAAAAATTATCAGTATCTTATCTAAAACTAGCGTTTTCAGTTGTAAATGTACTTAATCTGAATCGAATTCAATAGATTGGGTAGTTTTAATGAACTGTCGTAACATTGCAAAAACTTCTCTTTAGAAATGGTTTGTGTTGAATTTCGATGAATTTTGTGTGTGCTGAATCAAGAAATGTTAAACACAAAATTCATCGCTAGGCTGTCATGCTACTAGTGAAGTTGTTAACTATTGCCGTTCATATTTTATACACTAAACAATAAAACTATAGTATGAAATTTCGCAGTATTTTATTATGAAATAATGCTACTGATGGTGATAAAAATTCTACACAAGTTGCGTATATTTTGTAGCACATTCAGAACTATTTAAAGTACTTTTAACGAAAATATTTTGCAGTTTCTATGGGATTCCACTGACGTGATTCTTAGCTTCCTTTCAAAGTACTATGATTACAAAATAATGATTTGGTTTAGAAAATTATGTATATATATTATCAAAATATTAAAAACTCTTTTTACTATTATCATTCGATGATGACTTAACATGGATTTTGCACATTTATTCACTAGACATGTTTTCACTTGATTCTGTGTAACGGAAAAATAATCAATAAATATTTCAAAGGATTGCAATAGTGAATTTATTATTATAAGAAAATAGCATTTTGTTTTACATTAAATTTTATTACTCGATTATAGTTCTTATAAAAATGAAAGGTCATGGTAATCTAATACATCTTCATTGTAACTGAGGGATTTCGATTCTCATTATGGATTATTTAGGTTCCATCTAAGCAATTGCATGGAATCTATTTCTCATTAGTATAGACTCATTTGGAAATACAAGTAAGCATGCGAAGACATGCTGATATATTCATGTTAGTAATCAAAGAACTGTGGTACAACGAACTCTAGTCATATAAAGACTGGAAAAATTAATGTTAAACTAGTGTTGAGCACAAAAAGTACTATTTTCGCCTAATTTATTGCTATAAGTTGAATGTGTAGTATTCCTGATAAAAAAATCAAATAGAATGACACTTTGATTATTATAATTATCTGTATTTTTTCTTATAAATCTAATCTTATACTTTGTGTAAAGTTATCATAATATTTAGATGTACAAGTTCCTGAGTTGGAATGAACTAGAAAACATTTCATGTACTTTTCATTTAGTTCTTTGCATAAATACATTGAAAGGCAGGTGCAACTTATCTAAGAATCTTTCAATGATCAAAATCTTGATTATAGGAAGTAGTTAGCCTTTGTAATATATATGATATGATATGTGTATGACAGTATGCATATGTGCACATTCTGCAGATGCAACATCAAGGTTTTCCGTCTTAAATGTAAATTATTATCTAGAAAGAATATAAATAATTTATAAATAACCATTAGTTAGTAATTGTTTTGAATATTTTCGTTTATATTAATGTCATTGTTATATATTATTTTATTAAGGATCAGATAAATTTTACTAAGACTCAGTAATAATGAAATGCAAATATGTACTTCATAAAACTAATCGACGATGAACATCACGCAAAAATAAGCATAAAACAAAGCGTCTGTTTCAGTAACACGTCTTCTACAAGATAATAATATCAGTCATGAACAATATTTATTATTAACTCAAATGGTCTCAAACAATAAGGAGACTGATAAGTTAAGCACATAAATAAAATGATGCTGACTTCAATGTGTCAAAAAGTCAAGGTCATGGAAAATTTCGTATTATGGGCAAAGTAAAAGTTGAATTAAAACAACTAATAAGGAGGATCAACGAAATAAATTGAAATCGTTCTGATCTTATATGCTTAATGTTTTTGATTGTGTTAGATGAAGTATAGTGATTCAGCAAACATTAACTTGTTGCAATCATCTGATCACTGTGCAGCTTCTTGGTAAGTAGTAGCTTGAATTTCTGTTAGAAATAGAATCCAAGCATTCCGGTTATGAGTTTAAAGTGTAAATATTCATTGAGTAGAACCTAGTCGTCCAAAACATTTAAGTCCAGTCATTGTTGGATACGGAGTTAACATTATTCATTCTATTTCTTGCAAGCAAGCCTATCGCAGGTCAAATTAGTTTTAGAGTACAAAAGTGTGAACCTCTGATGGGGAGTTTTGCTTGGGCAGAATAAAGTACTAGTAGTTTGTTTACAAGAAATTATGAATCAACCAGTGTTAGACCACTATTGAAAACCTAGAAACACTGTATGGCCGTTTTCTCCCTAGAATGAAACGACTCAGCAGTGCCCATCCACGACCCTGCACGTGAGATCCGAACTCAGGACATTAGGCCTTGCGCACGAACGCTTAACCTCCATTCCTCTGAGCCGGTATCCAATAGTGTTAATGTATAACTTCGGTCAATCCACGATATTACGCGACCATTTTCTGTTGTCTTCCGTGGGTAACAGCCTCACACTCGACATGGCTGGACTCCACTGGCAATTACCCACCGAGGACAATCAAAGATGGTCGCACAATATCGTGAATTGATTAGAATTAGAACGGCTTAAACGAACTTATTATCAAATGGTATCTAGGGTGGCATCGAATAATATCTGTCAAGTACTCTAAAATCGGGAATTAATTAAGCGAAGCAGGTTTTATGTTAGCAATATGATATCATTTAATTAGATATTTAGTTAAACACATAAACATTGATACAAAGAGGAATCAAATATGTAGGCGCCACACTTCGTTATTTGATTTGTGTGACTGCTGTGATACTGCAGGGTGCCCAAACCAAATCAAATGGTTTTCCCCGGGGCCATATCCGGAGCCTTCGACCTAAAGGTCCGACCAACAAGGCAGTGGAGCAACGTCAGTAAATGTGGTCCCATGGTAGCCGGTGACCAATAACTGGTTTATACGACATTTGTTCCTTCAGGATTCTGGATCCCATGTACTTCACTGGTTTGGAATCAGGGTTTTCCAACCCCTTAGGTGGACTAACTGTATCCACCAACTCGGTTAAAGCTCCCAACATTCGCTTTTCGTCCTCTCGAATTCTTAAACAACACCCCCGCCTCGAGAAGGCAGTGAGTGGGACTTCCGCGTGAGTAGCTGTATACGTGTGGCCATGTGTGGGCCCTTTAAGAGGGAGGGTGAACTCACCCCACCCTCGACCGTAACAGGGTATTTGGTGGGCGCATAGTATGATGTCATATATATAGATGCAAATTGGACGAAGTACAGAAAGATTATCATTATTAGATTTTATCAGCAAGATATATCCCCCTACTAGTTGTTTCCGGTCATATTTAAAACCATAGTTCTTTTAAATCCACAAATAGCTGAATTTTTTCAGTATTTTACGTTCGATTTCTTAATTAGTTATCTGTTTTCAAAAACAATTTTCGCAACGACATTTTAGTGTTGGATGTCAGTTACAGTTATTGTAAGTTTCGGTCAAACAAATTTGAAATTCTTAACTAATAAATATTACGCTCTTTATTGACGGCAACTGTAGACAGTAAATTTTATTTATAAAGTAGTTAGCTATATTTAAATCCCATTTCAGACGGTTATTTTCAGTACAATGTGAAATAATTGCAATTCATACACTGATACTAAACTTGATTGCTTGCTTATAAATATTCATTAGACCTTCCTTAATCATATTTTCAATATAATATTCTGAAATTATAAACACTA